CTACAAACCGGAGACTGCAAAAGCCAGTGTGGATTAAACAGTTGATTTATATGCAAGCAAGCATAGCTACCCATACACTACATGAAACACATATCAAACCAAGCCGGTGCGCCTGTGAAAAAAAGCCCATCTAGCAGCCAAGTCGTGGTGAGCACCAACACGGAAGAGGCTTGCCCCCCATCGCAATCATCATCATGGTATCTGCGCATCTCTGGTTCTTGTAGATGCCATCAGTGCGCTCCGCCTCTTTTCCTACAATTTCCCCGCTCATTTCTTTTTGTACAAGTCATGACAACTTCAACTCTTCCCCTCTAGATCTCAAGAGTCACCTTCTGTCCCTTGACGCGGCCAATGACCTGGCTGGGCGCGTACTTGGGAATGACCTCGTCGTCGTGCAGCATCTCAAACTCCTCGGTGGCATCGCGGCCCATGAAGTTGAGAATGGCGTTGACGCCGCCGGGGTGCTCCTCGAGCCAGTTGGTCAGGTCCAGGACGACACCCTTGACGACGACCCACAGATCCTCCTTCGTGTTGTGCTTGGCAACCTCCTCCATCGTGTACTCCTTCTCGGGGATGGAGAAAGCCTTGGCCTTGCCGGCAGTCTCCTTAGGAGCGGCCGCAGAGGTGTCCGGCTTGGCGGCCACCTGAGCGGGAGCGGAGCTGGCGACGGAGCCGTTGGCCCACTCAACAGTCAGCCTGCCGGGTGTAGAGGGGTCGAGGTGCAGAGAGATCTGGCCCAGACGCTGAGCGGCGCCAGTGGTGCCCTGGAGGGCATGCTGGAAGAGGTAGTTGCTGGCGCTGTCACCGGCAACACGGCCGTAGACGACGCAGCCCAGCAGCGAGGAGCCGCCAAGGCGGTTGGCGCCGTGCACGCCGCCAGCCAGCTCACCACAGGCGAAGAGGCCCTCGAAAGGCTGCTTCTCCTGGTTAAGGACCTGGGCCTTGTCGTTGATCTCGACACCGCCCATGGTGAAGTGCAGGACCGGCTCCATCAGGGCGACGTGGAAGTCGTCGTTGATGTCGAGAGGCAGGTTGTGGAAGAACTTCTTGCCCCAAGGGTCCTTCTGCTTGCCCTCGGCGATGGCGTTGTAGGTCTGGAACGTCTTCTGCAGGTGCTCGGGCGTGCAGCCAATCTCCTTGGCGAGCTGCTGGCCCGTAATCTTCTTCATCAGGCCACGGCCAGAGTAGTGGCGGGTGTGGAAGTCCAGGACGTTGGACGCCTTGGAGTTGAGCACCAGGCGGATGGGGAACTTGTTCTTGTCCTTCTCCTTCCACATCATGCCGGAGACGTAATCACGGTGGCCGAGCTCGTCGCAGAACCGGTCACCGTCGGCGTTGAGAAGGATACCGCCCTCACCACGCAGAGCCTCGGCGGCCAAGAACTTCCACTTGTTGCCGGGGTCCTTGGGGTCTACCAGACCAGTGGGGTGGACCTGAACCTTGTCCATGTCAATGCCGTTGCCGCCAATGGCCATGACCATCTTCTGGCCGTCACCAGTGGCGTGGGTGCCGTTGGTGGTGGCGAGGCCAAAGATCTCGGGGCGGTGCTTCTTGAGCAGAGAGCCCTCGCCAAAGTCGGCGGCGTAACCACCGGTGGCGAGGATGACGGGGCCGTCCAGGCTAGCAGTCTCGCCGTTGAGCTCATAGGTAACACCGGTGACCTTGTTGCCCTCCTTGTTCAGGCCGGTGACGCGAGCCTTCTTGATGATCTCAACGCGGTGCGGCTCGGCCTCGGCAAGCTCCTCAATGCGCTGCATCAGAGCGTAGGTGATGGCCATGCCCGGGAACTTGGCATCGTGGCCTCGGTGGGTTCGGGGCTGGGAGTGACCACTGCAAAACAGATTGTCAGACAAGTCAACTCTAATTTATACAATATCGTTTCCAAGAGATGCTTCTCCGGAAGAAACAACGAAACAATGATCAAAACTCACCCTAGTCGGGAGACCAGCGTCAGGTCGAGGTTGAAGACATCCTGCAGCCACTCAACGGCGGCAGCGGACTTGTAGGTGAGAACCTTGATGAGGTCCGGGCGAGCCTGGTCACGAGCGGACTTGAGGGTGTCGTCGTAGAACTGCTTGACGCTGTCGCGGATGTTGTGCTCGACCTGGGTGCGGGTCAGGGCACCGTTGATGCCGGAGGTGGCCTTGGTCGAGTTGCCGCCGAAGAAACCTGAGCAGCAAAAGTCAGCATTTCCTCGAAGCTGTCAAAATGGGCCCCCCCGCAGCGTTTGCGATGCAAAATCGGCCCGATGGTTTGCTTTGTTGCAGCTGGAACTTACCCTGCTTGTCGAGAACCACGACATTGCCGCCGGCGAGGTAGATGGTGTGAGCGGCAGACAGACCGGAAACTGCAAAAGGCGCGGAAATTAGCAAACTGGCAATCCGAAGAAACCCAGCAATCTCGTCTCGTCTCCCGCGCATCTGCTCGAATCGCCTCCCCGGAGAACGAAAGACAGCAGCGGCAGAAAGAATAAGCGCGAGACGGTCAAGTTGCGGGATTGTACTTACGGCCACCGCCAACGACAATCACTCTGGGAGCCATGATCTCTGACGAGGAGGAGTTTGGTAGGAGGGGAAAGAAGAGAAGACGCGGTACGAAGGAAAGGGGAGAAAAGAGATGGAATGGGGGTATATGGAGAGATGGAGAAGAAAAGGGGAGGGATGGAGGAGGAGGAGGAAAAGAGAAGCAGAATCGGATCGCGGCTCGACGTTGGAGTTCTTAAAAGCATAAGGGAAGCAGGCATGCAGGTGAGCTCCACGCCGAGGGCGGCAGTGAGCCGAGGCAACCAGGTGGGTAAGCCGCCGAGACGGTACTCCGTCATCCGTGCGCGTACCGGTACTGATGGCTGGGGAGCCACATGTGGCCACAGCGTGTCTGTTTCGCGGTAGCAGCGGGGGTGGCAGCGCGGTGGATGGGCCAGAATGCCCACTAGAGTCTGGGGTTGGGGGAAAGGCGTTATGTACCGATACTTTGGCTGACTGGCGAGTACTTGCGCTTCCACGTTCCCCGTGATTCATGATCCCATCCGCAAGCAGCTGCACAGACGCTGAGGTGTCCATGGACAAAGCGGGCAGATCGAGTACTCGTAAGAAACGAACACCATTTGTTCCTTTTGAATTGCTTGGAGACATGTTCATCCTCCAATTTATCCGCAACACGACACAACTCAGTGGCTTCTCTAAAGCGCATGAACTGCCCATCAAGTTTTGTCGTTTTTCTCTAGTATGCCGGCCTTCGGTATCTCGTCCTGCTTGGTGCTTCTAGTGCCTCGTCACCCCACTAAACTACCCCAAACGCACTGCCAAATCAGCATCCAGGCTTTTGTAACCTGGCGTCTGTTCGGACAATATATAACCGAAGCTCCTGCTGCCATTGGGTTAAGGGAGTTTTGGACGAAGGAAGGAAATCATGAGCAGAAAAGGGCTTGCACTCTGAAAATGCCCAACTACGTGACGAAACTGCTTGACGAAGCGTCAACTCTCATCAACTTGAACTTTGTCCGTCTGGACTGGCGATGGTGATGATTTGTACTGATTGTCATCAAAAACCGTCCAGTAGTGGAAATGCGAGTGCCGAGGCTTATAATCGTCCCACAAACCACGAGGGTCCCATCTCTCTCTCTCTACTTCACTTGTGAATTTCGCGCTACGAATCCAATGGCCAACCGCACGAACGCGTTTGAATTCGCGCCAACAACATGTATCAACATCTACTCCTCCTTCATCAAGCCTCGTCTATTCGTGCCTTGAGCCATAGTCATGAATACTGCATGGCATGGCATCTTCCCCCCCCCCCCCCCCCCCCCCCCCGTGGCACCCCCCCAAACTAGCACAAGCCACAAGCCCGCGCCCATCCACATGCTTTTCACATGTCAGGCAACAAAAATCCAGCCATCAGCCCAGCTGACCACCGACACCCCCTTCCGATAACTTGACATCACCACGCCTATTCTCCCTGCTGCCTACCGACCAACTGCGCATGTGTACATTCAATATTATTGCAAAATCCACTCGATGTATACCTAGGTAGAGAGAAAGGGGAAGACACAAGCCCATACTATACCCCACAGTCAATCAAATCTCCAAATCCGGGGAGCCACACGGCGCAAGTCAGATGATGGCTCTCCTCTTTGCGAGGCGACTCTTCCATACCCAGTACCTACGCTGCCATTGGCCAGCCCCGGGTTTTGACATCGTCCGATAATTCAACCTTCCCGGTCTTTCTCCGTGGAATCAAATCTCACTCTTCATGTGAAAGTCGACCAGCTCACAGTCCCGTGATGCGCCACCTCGGCAGGTAAGCCTTGTACAAGGATAGGTAACTCTGGTACTGTACAAGATATTGGCACTCTGGGATTCGCTTCTTAACCCTTAAAAACGGTAGTATGTAGTAATACCTTGACGGAGTAAGTAGCGATTCACACAATTATTCTTTCAGATCAAGCTCTTGTTATGTTTCCACCCGCAGGTGTCTGATGGCATGACATTTACCCTTTCGGACGATAATTTTCCACCTCTTGCGCCTCCAGTAACATGCTCATCAACAGGAATACATAGCTCGCCTTCAGCTTTCCACTCATCCAGCCAATGCCCAAATCATGTGACAACTCGTCGTTTCCTGTTTGGAGCACCCTCGCCGCTGATTACCTAATTCATCCCAACAGCTCCCTCCAGTGACGTCGTCGTGCCCTGTATCGCCTTTTTATGATATCAACTCCAGACCCATTACAACACCCGCTTGTACGCCCTGCAATCTATCCAACTCCAGCCCAACCCACGCCCAACGCAACGCATCCAAGGAGAACAATGAGGCTCCTCAACCTCCTCTCTCTAACCCTCCTCACAACTTCAACAGCAGCAACACCCCCCGCCCAAGTACCACTCCACAACAACAACAACAATAATCGAATCCCCCCGTATCCGCCCCCAGGCCACCTCCCCGTCATCATGTCCCCATCCTCCTCCTCCTCCTCCCACGAAGCCCAAAGCCAAGTCCAGCCCGCCGTCCTCCTCATCGACATCCTCGGCACCCAGCGCTCCCTAACAACCTTCTTCTCCCTCTCGCGCATGCGCCCCGAAACAAGCGAGCCCCTCGCCGACGCAAACACCAAGACCACCGTCCTCGCCCCCAGCAACGTCGCCATCGAGGACCTCCCGCGGAAGCCGTGGGAGAACCCCGACGACTACGACGCCCTCGGGAGCCAGGCGTACGATGGGTCGGGCGGGAAAGATCGCGCCGACGAGAACATGATGAGGTTCGTGCAGGCCCATCTCGTCATCGGGCACCCGAGCCCTTCTTGGGAGGCTGGCGTCAAGGCCAAGACGGCGGCGGGGAGGGAGATTTGGTGGGAGGAGGGCAAGGCGGGTGGTCAGGAGGGGAAGAGGATTGTCATGCCGGATGGGGTTGAGGTTGAGCGGGTTGCGAGCCGGGTTGCTAATGGCGAGGTGGTAAGTTGCTTTCCCTTTCCTCCCCTTTTTCTTTGCTCTTCCTGTTCGGGGAAAAATGCCGGATGTTTAGAGGCTGATTTGGTTTGCTTCTATTTAGTGGATTCTGAAAGGGGTTTTGAATCCCGCGTGATGATGTGCTGATACTTTTCCTTTCTCCTATTTCTACCTGTTCTAATGATGACGCTCATGAAAACCCCCTCCCCCCCTTTTTGCTCCAGCTATGCGATCGTCTGCTTCGCATCAAGACCGACAGTCGCAGGCTCCTATCTGCAACAATTAATTATCGACCTGTCATTGTACTGCTCTTTGGCTTTAGTAACAGGCATTGAAATTGTAAATAACAGACGCATACTTTATACAGCAAATTAGAAAACCACGTTCCCTCAACAGTCCATCTCCTTCAAGCCAACAATTGTTTTCGGGTGCATCGCCGAAGTATGCCAACTAGATTGGAGAAAATAGTAGGTGTTTAAGCAGTCCGGCCATCATGCGGTCACATATAAGAGATGGACAGTCTCTTTAACTTGAATATATTCAACATCCAGAAATAGAACGTTTTCCACCAGCCTTCAACTCTCCTTTTTCGTGCTCCTATCTCGTTAGTCCCGCGACATTTTCTAACCAAGAAACGCCCGGAAAATACAACGACTCCTCTAGGCCCCTCTCTCCAAAGAAATGGCCCAGTCCTCACAAGATGGACAACCACGCCCTAGCCTGTGCTCGCGTGTCCCGTTTCCCATATTCCCACAAAGTAAATACCATGGCGGATGAACCCATTCAAATGCCACACAAGAAGGTGAAAAGACACAGTGAAACAACATCGCGACAGCCTGCCCGGGCTCAGCGCCATCAAACAAGCAGTAGACACGCACCCCCGGGAAGATAGATCAGAAGATAAATCCAGTTCACCCGTGTCTCGCGACGGCCAAACCAAAGGCAACTGCACGAAAACTCTCACACCGGGTATCAGCCATAACGTGTGCCGAGATGACAAACGAGACCAAGCGATTGGAAGAGCACGATCCATACACCAAACAGCCTATTAATACACTTGAGAAACGAAGATGGCAAAAGAAGAGGAAGATGACGAAACTGATGAAAGAGAAACGAGATGACCAAGAAAAGACAGAGAGGGTATCTGAAGAAAACGGACAGCATCGCAATCGATCAAGAGTATGTGATACAGCCTATCGTTCCACCTTCAAGCGCTTAGGATCGCTAGCCGTCTGTTGGTTCTCGTCTTGGCCAGGCCCCTCGAGATCTGGACTCTTCCGCTTGGCAATTCCTGATGGTTGTGTTGAGCCCTGATTGCCACTTGCTGCGCTGGAGCCTGCGTTCCCGCTGCTGCTCAACAAATGGCTGTCGTCTCGGAGGAAGCTTGGCCCTGTGCCCACCACGGGCGTGGCAAAGTTGAGGGGGCTGGGGAGCGTATTGTTGTCGCTGCCTCTGAAGTTCCATTCCGGATAGAAACTGCTGGGGCTGGGCAGCAGCTCATTGTTCAAAAACCGAGAGGGAAGTGCGGAAACGGGCGTGTCGCCGTTGACGTTCTGCTGAGGCACCGGCCGGGCAAACGGATTGGGGGGTCCGGTGGCCCCTGCGGACAAAAGTGTCGTGGCAGACGGAGACGGCGGCGGGAGGACCACGCTGTTGTGCCGATGCGGCGCGTTGGACGCAGCGTCTGTCGGAATCCGAGGTGAGTTTGAGTCGCCCGTTGCGCTCCCGGCCTCAGAGCCACCGTCGGGAATCTGCACAGTCAGGCGAGGCGGCTTCGGCCTTGTACCCCCCACGGCCGTGTTGATCTTCAGGCTGCTGGCCTGCGACGGCGTATCAGGAAGGGAGGACACCGACGTGTTGCGCAGATTGGAGCGTTGCTGCAGATGCGGCGTAGGTTCTCCGTTCCGAGCGGCGGCGGCGGGTCCGTTGTCAGCCGACTGGGATCGGTTGGGGTTTGCTGCGGCCATGGCCGCGGACTCGTTCTTGATAGACTGGGGTTCCGAGGCAAAGGAGGCCAAGTGCTGGGATAAGATGGACCGGTTTTCCTCGATTGGCGTAAAGATGCTGTGTGACTTGCGCTGGGACATCTTCTTGATAGCCGTGTCCGTGTTGATGAGGGGCGCCTTCGGCTTCTCCGGGGCGTCTGCCCTTGGTTCGACCGGCGGCGGAGGCTGGGGGTCCAGGTGACGACGTGCTGGCTGCGGCGAGGTATGAGGGGGCATGGACTGAGGAGGCAGCAACTGGTGAGGTGGCTGAGGGGAGGGATTCTCTGTGCGCGGGCCGACTGTTAGTGGTTGGGGAGGAGGATGAGCACTGAAGGCAGGAGGTGCAGATGGCCTCCGTTCTTCCATGTATGGCTGAGGTGGCGGCTGGTACGGGTAAGGACCAGGCTGGGGCGGCATGAGGCTGGACTGGTTGCTAGCCGCCGGGTTATAGATGGGTGGCGTGGGCATGTAGGTGATGCCGGGGTGCGGCCCATGAGGTCCATGAGGCCCGACGGGCTGCGGCATCATGCCATGGCCCATGCGGCGCATGTCACCCCTCGAGTTTGGCCGCGACGGGCCGGCGGGTTGCGGCGTGAGGCTTCGCTGGAGGTGAGGATGACCTGGGAATGGCACGCCGTTGGGTACGGGGGGCGACGCCGAGGCTGTCTGATGGCGAAGCTGGGGGAAGGGTTGAGGAGGCTGGCCTTGGTAATGGGCAGGCATCATGTGCGCCTCCATTCCATCCGCGCCTCGAGGAGGCGTCCCATCACCATCTTCGTCGTCTTCATCGTTGTTCTGGCCGCTGTTGTAGTCGGAAGGGCCCTTGTGTTCGTTGGGGCCACCATGCTATGCCATCTTGTCAGCAAAATCGCGTCCGAGGTTGATATAAGCGATGCCCCTTGGTAGGAAGCAATGTCGTGCGACGACACAGCCCTCGGTGAAACGTACGTATTGGTATCTGGTAATGAGCTGTCCCATGTCCTTTGAAGAGTACTCGTACAGCTTCTTGTTGTTGCCAAAGATGAAGACGGCGACATCAACGGAACATAGGACGGAGAGCTCGTGTGCCTTTTTGAAGAGACCACCCTTTCTCTTGAGGAAGGTCCTAAGGAATACTGGTATTAGTCTCGGGGCCGTCGCGGTATTGGGCTCGGCGTGGAAACAGCAACATACACGGAGCGGTTGCGGTCATCGGCGATGGCCTTGATCTCAATCTTTCTTCTACCCATTGTGGATTATCGTTGGCGGCGCCCAAGGGTCGCGGTTGTGGTGAGATTGGGGCGTGCGGCGCGCGAGGCCAACGAGCTGGAGGATTTGGCTCGCCGAATTCAAGGCCGCGTTTGGATATGATTGCGCGTATCGAAATTTGAGCTGTTAAGGGCGAAGCCAAGAGCGCTCGTCGAGAGGAAGTTCGCGATCCAGAAGGACAGGGACACGGGGTCAGTGTCGAGATTGGTCAAGTCGAACGTCGCCGTCGCAGTCACAGTCGCAATCGTAATCGCAATCGAGCCGACGAGTCGGGAGGCGGCAAGTTTGTGCAGTGATATTGAAAAGCACGCGCCGCAGAGAAGTGTTTGTCCGGACCCACAAAGAGGCAGGATGAGGACGGAGATTGGGAGAGCAGCAGCAGTAAGACGGCTGCAATAGGAGGCCAGGCCGTCGAGAAACGGCAAGGTGACAGCCAACGAATTGAGCTGCGTTTGCGTCGCCTGGTGTGTGTATGTATGCGCGCGCACAAATGTGACGAAGCCGAGGAGCAAGCACTCGGACGACGACGAGGCGGAGGAGAAGGAGGAGGAGGAGGAGGAGGAGGATTAAGAGGATGGGCGTTGGATGCGTCGTGACGGACGATGACGGAGGAGACGCGAGGCCAGACAAAGGCAGGAGGCGCCGTCTTTGTACAAGCAGTACCGCTGGAGGCAAGGGACTTTGTAAGGCGAACAGGTCCCGAAAGCCGGACGCACAATGTGGCCGTCGAGGCTCAGGAGCAGCAGCAGCAGCAGCAGCGGCGGCAGAGACGCCGTTCGATGGCGTTGGCTGGGACCAACGGCGATGCTGGTCTGGCCTGGTCGGGGATCGGGAATCTGCGCCGTCTGGTGGTAGCCAAAGCCAGAGCCAGAGCCGTGCTTTTTTCTGCTGTCGCGATGCGGTGCGGTGCGATGCGGTGCGATGCGAGCGCGATGCAGTGCCGGTGCCTGCAGGTTCGTCGTCCAGTCGCGCGGACGAGATCGGTGATATGCTGGGGGTTGGTTTAAACGTCTTGCAGGACCATGGGGCTGAATCTGGCGTTGGATGGTTCTAATAATAGCCCTCGAGATCGTGTTCAGTCTGAACTTGGATCCTGAAGGGTGGGAAGAGGATTTATGACTACTAGTAGCACCGGACGGACCAGAGAGAGACGCTCAGGTCGGGTCCAGTGAGTGCTAAGCAGGTTCTGCCGGCCTCGCTAGAGCCAAAGCAGCAATGCGAGGGTGGAGGCGGAGGGCGGCCCTGCTAGGTTGACAAGCCCACAGCACTCGTACAGGGGCGACAGGGGGGGCTTGACGGGGACTTGGGGGGGGACCCTACGGGGGAGTTGAGCGCTACAGCACAGGCGACGGGACAAACTGCTGCCGCCTCGAGCCCTATGACTGGCTGCGGCGGGAAAGGCTTAGCACTCGATGGGAGAGGGAACTTTGTGTATGTACCTTTGAGGTGGCCATTTGGAATGGGCCAGTCGTAGGGAAGAGATAAAAGTCTTCACGGCGGGCAGTCCTCAAAGGCCTTTGTTGGTTCTGTTCTACATGCTGAGCCATCTCAAGACGCCTTGTCTTGTAATTAGTAGACGCTCTACCTACTGTAATGTACCTGCTCGGCGACACAAGGTCCTGACGTGCCGAGAGCTTCAAGTTGTACCTACAAAGGGAGACCACCGTCATGTGCCTCCGCAGAGCTGAGAGACCATGAACCGCTCTGCGGGTATCTTTGTGCTACCAAGGCGTCGAGCCTGGTATATTTTTCTAGATACAAAAGAGCTTCACCTGTTGCAAAAGCACGTCTTTATGGTGTCATTGGCCGTAGGTGGAAGATGCTGCGTCCTTTGTAACATGTGCAATCGCTCTTTGTACCTATAAACCCGCCTTGTCTACATGTACCTATATGT